AACTTCATTTTTTGTGTGTTTACAACTGCGCAAGCGGCGATAACAGCGTGCAGTCGAGAAGCATGAAATCTTGATAGGCTTCAGCGCTTAATGCTGATATTGTTCACGTGCATTCAAGAACCAAGTGGCGAGCAGGATGCATCGTGTGTATGAAGGAGAGGATAAAATCACCCCCTCATTTTGAAACGTGGCGTGGTGAGGGGCCCTTGAAGCGGCATGCCAATCCGTACCTATACATGCAGTTAATACCTTATCTTTAGCAATTCAAACTGTAATACCGAATTAATAATTATACAACGATCAAATGGGAACTCTGGTGCATTTTAGACCATATAAAGTAATGCTATTTTTCAATGGTGGTGACAGTCATACAAAATCTAAAGTGGTTCGTTTTGCGCAAGCACTTGTCAATTAACCTACTTAAACAATGAATGACGAGTCAAAACAGAAACTAAAACAGCTGCTGACCCGCAGAGCGCGGGTTCGAATCCCGGCTGCGGCGGCTGCATTTCCGATGGAGGCGGAAATGTTGTAGGCCCGTGTGCTCAAATTTGGGTGCACGTTAAAGAACCCCAGGTGGTCTAAATTTCCGGAGCCCTCCACTACGGCGTCTCTCATAATCATATAATGGTTTTGGGACGTTAAACCCCACATATCAATCAATCAATCAATCAATTATCAGAAACTGAAACAGGGAGCTGCTCCGTCATCCATGGTGGGTATGAATGACGTCACGAGAATCCGTCGCCGATGACGCCCCGAGATCCGCTACACCCAATGCCACATAAGCAAACATTTTCAGGCCTCTAACGTGCACCACCGTGACGTCACTCGTTTTGTCCGAGCGTGCGCGGGTACGGGAGGCTGTGCATTCATTGCCACCATCGTCTCCCGTTAAAAGAGAAAGCGTTCGCGGAGAGTTTTACATGATGAATATCTTCATTCTGCTTTTTGCGACAAAAAACGCGCTTGTTTAAGTAATATATTACGACTGAAAGCGCTTAGAGATTCATCTGCGAGGCAGTTCTTGCAGGAAAAAGTCTACTTCATCGTGGTGGTCTAGTGGCTGCTGACCCGCAGGTCACGGGATCGAATACCGGCTGCGGCGGCTGCATTTTCGACGGAGGTGAAAATGCTGAGGCCGATGTGCACAGCTTTGAGTGCACGTTAAAGAACCCCAGGTGGTCTAAATTTCCGGAGTCTTTCACTACGGCGTCTCATAATCAAGTGGCGGTTTTGGGACGCTAAACCCCACATATTAACCAATCAAGGAGCGGCGTTTGTCTTTTGCTGTGGCCGATCTCGCAGAGGTGCGAAGTCGCTCCTATAACTTACGGCCTGAGAAAAACGCTAGTACTGGGTCTATATTAAACCGTGTAGACCCCTTCAGCACTTATACTTAGTGGTCGGCTCTTGAATCGGTATATTTGGTAGTGGTTGTTAAGTATTCTAGCTTGATGTAGAGCTCACACACCTGAAAATCGTTTAAGAAGTAGCTTTACCGTAACTGTCTACACGCATCTAAATTTCAAGGAAACATATTAGGCCAAGGTGCTGGCAAGACTGGCGCGAAATTATAATACCGCAACGAAGTGTTTGTAACACCAGCAACAAAATACTTTGAACCAAACTTATGCGCTAACAATGCGACGTCATTCCTTCCATTTTTTCTCAACAAAGTGAATACACGTATTGCAAGAATTCCACGGCGCTTATCGCCGATCGCAAAATGTTAACCGACCGTGAAGGAAGACGTCTGTTCTGAAACCGTTCTGCCACGCGCGTTTAATACTTTAATTGCGGGGCTTACGCTAACAAGTCAAGAACACATGACACCTTTAATTTAGAGCAAGAATGGAACATGCTGGTCAAGGTGCCGTTGGAACGACTTAGAAATATGTAGTACGGACAAACGTAGCTTCGGGTCACAAAGGAAATGGATGTCGACGTCCGCTTGAGAAACGACACGCTCCCATTTTGTTGTTCGGTTGTCCTTAGGATACGAGAACACTCGCAACTTCGTAGCCTTGGCCGCCACAATTTGCCACGCAGCATCGCCCAACCGTTCGGATCTTCAGCATTACAGGGGCGCTATGCAGGATTAGCCGAATTTCGCGAAACTCGGAATATTTCCTAGCTCTGGCGACACCTCCTTATGAACGAGCCAACAGTACGAGAAAGTCAAATCCACCCCTCAGCGCGCTGCGTTTCATTGGTTACGATGTAACCAGTCATCGCGTCAAGAACGGTCGACTAATTTGGGCGGGGTTTTCAAACCAGAGGCATCTTCTTTCATTTGTTTGTCATTCCACTGAGTGTCAAGTGCACCTTGTCATGACTGGGGACTGGCAGTGCAAAAGACGCCCAACTGACCTCTCTAAAGCGGTGTTCGTCGATGAGAACACTGTCTGCGTCCCTTAAGAGCGCGGTAATACTCCCAAGTTCACTGCAAAAAACGCGCTCCGGCGGTGGCAGCAACCGCACCGCAAGGGCTCGCGGTGCGCTATTCTAAAACTCCCCAATAGCGCACCGTGAGCCCTTGTTGTGCGGTTGCTGCCACTGCGCATGCGTCGTTACGCGAGGCACCGTTCGCCTTCGTGGTCCACCCCCGCAAAACATTTGAAATAGCGTGCGGTAATCGCGGCCCATGAGGCCTGCGTTGTGCTGTGCGTATCTTCCGTGCATGTGGGTTCGCGGTCGGGGCGAAAGTCCTTAGACCTTTCTCTAAGGGGAGCAAACGCTATTCTAAAACTCCTATGGCGCCCATAACTAAAGCGACGCCCGCAACACCCGCGAACGCTCTTCTAAACCTCCCTGTGTCTTGTATTTACTTTCAGCGTGCTCACGACATATTCAATCACATCCGCGTTGCCGACAAGATGCGAGCACTCCTGGTGACCACCTGTCCTAACAATTATCCTTAATACTTGGTAGAAGCGAAACGAGCAGCATGAGAGTGCGGCGTGTGTGCAGCCTTGCTGCCTTCCAGAGTGGAAACTTTCATGCTGCAGGTGGAACAAAAGAACCTGTGCGAAAAGAGGACATACGCGCACTCCTGCGCGGGGCGCGTGTTGAGTTGGCAAAGAAACAGCATGACTATCACCCTGACGTCGCCGCACCGCTAAAATGGGGACTGAGTGACGGCGCTGACGTGCTCGCACGCGGTGTTTCTTTGATAACCACCGCAGATGTCTCACATGTGCTTCCAACGCCACACGCCATCGTGCAGCCGTTTTTATCAACGCTGCTGCCACGCACTCTCTTCATGCAACCTGACCGCAAGCGAGCTCGGAGCAAACTCGGCTGCCCGAGAAGCTCGGGCCATCCTGCATTGCACCCCAGATCGTGAATATCCAGTGCACAAAGCGCATCTCATACCCACGCTCCACACGCGGACAAGGAAAGCCACGGATTTCTCGAGTCGCCAACAAGCACACTATAGCACGCCACGAAAACATTCATCAGGCTTGGCAATCCATGTCCGTCGAGCGACGACAGCAAGCGTAGGCACGTCTGTGCAGCGGAACACACCGGTTTAAACGGAGTGACGTCAGAGCCCACTGCGGAAGCAGTGCGCAGGCCTAAAATTATTTAGGTGGCATTGCTATATACACCCCGCTACGGCTGCCTAGCTGTACACATAGCTTACGTGCCTCTTCAAAAGTGCAGAAATCAAATTGACGATTGTCATCCGACGCGGAATTAAGCTGTGTTAACTCGTCTGATTTTACCAGTGGAAAAATCAGCGATGATTGCAGCTACTATCTGAGCGTGGAAGCGTCAATGTTCGATTTCGACCCACTGGCGCGTAAATCATCTGACATGCCCCGAATCGATTTTCTCGTTGCTCCATATGGTAAGACCAGACGTCAACGACGACTAATATGACGCATGCAGCTGACAAAGCTGAACTGCGCTCGCATTTCTTCGCCTCGTAGAAGAAAGAGCATGCTGCATGCGGGCTGCATCAAACGCCGGGTTTTCGGAAAAGAGCATGGCTATATATGTCACTAACACAGGAAGGCCTGCGTTTACAAGTGTGTTTGTATAACGAGCTACAGGTATTAAAATTTGTTTTCTAAGAAAACTAAATACCGATCGTATAACTTGGCACATATCACCACGGTATCGATGAGAACACATGTTAAAATCCAAGTTGCTGAGGTACTCGGATGCTGACCCGCAGGTCGCGCGCGGGCTTACATCCCGGCGGCAGCGGCAGCATTTTCGATGGAGGCGAAAATGCTGAGGCCCGTGTGCTCAGATTTGGGTGCACGTTAGAGAACCCCAGCTGGTCACGATTTCGGGAGCCCTCCACTACGGTGTCTCTCATAGTCATATGGTGATTTTTGGGACGTTAAACCCTACATATCAATCAATCACTAAGAAGTCAAAAGCGCGCCCCGCCGCGGTGGTCTAGTGGCTAAGGTACTCGGCTGCTGACCCGCAGGGCGCGGGTTCGAATCCCGGCTGCGGCGGCTGCATTTCCGATGGAGGCGGAAATGTTGTAGGCCCGTGTGCTCAGATTTGGGTGCACGTTAAAGAACCCCAGGTGGTCTAAATTTCCGGAGCCCTCCACTACGGCGTCTCTCATAATCATATAGTGGTTTTGGGACGTTAAACCCCACATATCAATCAATCAATCAAGTCAAAAGCGCAGCGGCGAGGTAAAGCGTGAGGTCTACGCACTCGTCGTGGTGGCTGCTCCGGCGTACACACTATTCCCGTGAGTGCTTGCGCACCCATTAGTGGCTCTGGTGTGCTTGAAAAAGGTCAATTCTAGACTTCTCGTTGATACATAGGCGTGTTACGTATACGATTTGAGTGACGCAATGGCATTGCTTTTTAGCACTATAAACCATTGACACTGCCAATGGCTTTTACGAGACAGCAGGGATCACAATCGTTTTCCTGACGGGGCAGACGCTTAATTTGAAAGAAACGCATGCAACAACCACATACTAGAAAATACTTACCTTTTTGCTTTGCCGTGAACGCAGATATTCCAGCGATTCACAGCGCACTGGTAAATCCGTCAACGAGGACAGTCAGGTGAGTAACTGAAACTTAAACAGTTTTCGCAGACAAACACAGAAGCCTATAGCTTGTGCAGGGGTCAGAAAACTTATTAGTGCCCACTACATACTGTTTGTTAACGTTGGGGTGATTTCAGTTTTGTTGGCAAAGCTGAGACGTCACTACAACGCGTGTAGTCGATTGTCCTTCCCGCAATTGTTATTTACGGAAGCCTTTTCGGGTGCACTTACGTTGCACGAAAGGCATTGCAGCATTAGCACGCAGATACTTATCTAAATGCCTACCAAAGCTTCTCTAGTGTTTAGTTTAGAAGTTAAATGAATAAAACATTACTGTCTTAAGCGCAGTGCGTTTCAGTGCGCATCTGCGTTTTCTCCATCGCAAATAACAGACCCTGTATACCCATGACCGAACCCCTTATCAGTTTGCTATCACTTTAGTTGCTCCAAATCACCAGGGCTCGTATTCAAAAATAAGGTCTTACGCTTCAACATTTTTCAAATGTAGTACATCCTCATCCAGATCCTGAACTTATCAGCAAAACCGGTCGCCCAGAGACAAAAGGCTTGCGATAAAAGAAGCTTTTCAAACTTTCCCCCAGCGTTTAAATAAGAATCAATTCAAAGTTACGGTATAATTAACAAGAACGACAAAAGGCTCGAATACTTAGCTACGTAGTGAACTGTTCAGTGCTTAATAATTTCCGTAATAGTTGAAAATAATGTGTGCTATAGTTTTTTAGAGAATTGAGAGATCTTGCTTCTCCCGCAGAAGCTTTGAAGCTTTTGGCAAATATAGTGAGAGTATCGATCAGTAATAAAACGGGAATCAACTGAAATAAACACCTTATTCTACCAAAGAACGTCATTTAAAATAAAACAAGAAAACATGAGGATTTTTTTGTTTTTGATTTACAATGCCATGAAATATGACTTCACAATGCGGAAAAAATCGAATCTCAAGCATCGAGAAGACATTTGTTACTATAATTGAGCGTGCCTGTGCGTTAGCTATCCGTAAGCATGACGTTTTAAGAAATAACATTCCATTTGTGGGCTTAGACTTTCCTATTATTTATTTCGCCGCCTTGTTTCAGGTTTCTCGAGATGCCCGTGCTCGCATACTACGTTCTGCACGCACTACTGCCAATGTTTTTCCACGCCGGCAAGTATTGTCATTGTCATCGAAGTTTTCTGAGTTGAGAAATTCCAAGAAAAAAATTCCGCCATATCCACGAAGTGAATGATGATGAGTGGGCGCAGCTCCGGAGGTAAACCTGGTAAACCATGAATCCTCTGTACATTTTGCCCACTCGATTTTATTACATCGCTCCCCCTAGCGTACGTCGCCGCACTAAATCAAACGATTGCCTTCAACCAATGACACGCGCCATATGTGACATCATTCCTATTTTATAAAATCTCGCGTCTTTCATCAACTACAAGTACCGCTTTCTAGTTTATAACATCTTGCATCTTTTCATCATCAGCTACAAGTACCACCATCTAGTAAACACTACAAGAACTAATCGAGAGGTGGCTACATACAGGAGACGGTACCGCCATCTAGTGAACACTGCAAGAACTAAACTAGAGGTGGCTACATACAGGGGACGGTACCGCCATCTAGTGAACACTGCAAGAACTAAACTAGAAGTGGCTACATACAGGCTACAGCGGACGCACAGCCCACGCCCTAAGGAGCTTCGCCCCTAAAAAAAATTACGGCATATTCACGGGGTGAATGATGATGAATGGGCGAAGCTCCGGAAGGATTCATCGGTAAACTGTGAATCTTCCGTGTAATTCGCCCAGTCGATCATCATGTAAAGACGTGAGAAACGCTGTGTGTGTATATACACAAATCAACTTTTATTTCTTCTTAGACGATGGATGGCTTGCGATGTCCCTTGCCTCGCGCGCTCGCACATCGGGATTCTCTCTGCGAGCGCGCGCTGCTGCCGCCTTGCGCTCTCTCCGCTGTGCAGCCTTATCCATCCGGCGACTCCGAGCGCGCGCCAACAGCGAACGGATTTTATTACAACGCTCCCCCTAGCGTACGTCGCCGCACTAAATCGAACGATTGCCTTCAACCAATGACACGCGCCATATGTGACATCTTTCCTATTTTATAAGATCTCGCGTCTTTCATCAACTACAAGTACCGCTTTCTAGTTTATAACATCTTGCATCTTTTCATCATCAGCTACAAGTACCACCATCTAGTAAACACTACAAGAACTAAACGAGAGGTGGCTACATACAGGAGACGGTACCGCCATCTAGTGAGCACTGCAAGAACTAAACTAGAGGTGGCTACATACAGGGGACGGTACCGCCATCTAGTGAACACTGCAAGAACTAAACTAGAGGTGGCTACATACAGGCTACAGGGGACGCACAGCCCACGCCCTAAGGAGCTTCGCCCCTAAAACAAGCTCGCATCATCAAAGCGCGCAGCATTGCTCCCTGGAAACCATTCTCAAGTACCAGTCAAGAGAACGTACAGACTTGATTCAGCACTGGTAGTTACCTCAAAAATTTAATCATGTCGTTCCCCCTTGCGTGGTTCAACTAGAAACCCAACACTCGTATACCAGCGTGCGTTCTTTTGTACACCAGGCGTTACACAGCCACTAATGTTTTTCACACTTTAGCCTAAAGGGCACCAGCAGCGATAGCAGCCAGCCTACCTTAATGCGCTGTCTGTTTCCCTCTTCTGGGTTCATTCAGGGTCCGTGTATGACGAAAACGGTGCTTACGACGAGTGGTGGCGCTTCGAAAACGAGGAGGGCTTTGCGCGGGCGGAGCGTTGCCTTGTTCGGCAGTTTCTTGAGTCGACGAAGTCGTACGCCTCGAAAGTTGGTATCATTTAAATTATTTGTTTATTGACGCATTCGTCTAAGTAAAAGACGAATTTTTTTCTAGCGAATTGACTATTTCAGGCACTTAAGCTACACTACTTTTTTTTCTCTAGGAAGAAGCTAAATCATTGGGTGCACGTGTGATGAACCAAAATTTCATACTGGCACCGTCATTCGAGGTAAGTGTCAATATAGCCGCAACTCAATTCACTTCCTCAACTGTTTACAGTTGATACCCACGCTATATAAGTTTTTAGGTGGGATGTAAATTGTGTTTCTAAAAAGAATGACAGAAGCCCCACTTGCGGCCATGCGAGTCCCCGTTTCAACAGCTTAGCTTGCATGTTCCCCCTGACACTACCTTGTGATATTGCTCGGCAACCTCCCTCGGAACACGTAGATGTATACCTGATGGATGTGTGTATTTTTTTTTTGCTGTTGCTGCGCACGCAGCTTCAATCTTTTAGAGTATGCCAGGCCAAACAATAGAAAATCGCATTAGTCCGTAACAAAAGAGAAGCAAATAAAACCACTTTGTAAACACTAATCATAGGTAAACAAGTGAATTCTGAGACGCAGTGAATTTGACACGCAATGCCTTTGAAGGAAGACGTGCTGCTGCCTATTAAAGAGAGCAGTGTTTCGTGAGCACCATGCAGGTGTTAACGCAGTGTACGTTTCTCCTGTTCACTGCAAAATTAAAAAAATAAAAAAGTTTAATGAAATGAAGCCATCCAGTTAGTACTGCAGCGACGCCGTTCAACTAATATCTGTACTAAGCACAAGTATTCGGAATTCATGCTCTATCACTCGCATACCGGGTTCCTGAAGAAAGTTGATGTCCTTATTCGTCAGAAATATAAGAAGCTAGAGTGCAAAATGTTGTCCATCATCAGCCGTTATAAGACAGAAAGCAGCGGCATAGTAACTTAGCGAGAGTGGTGTTCCGAATGAGAACTAAAGACAGTTCGACCTGAGAAATTTTCCAAGTTGGTGTCATCAACCCGTCTGCTTTGACCGGAAAGGAGAAAAACTGTGTTGCCTAAGACTTTGTTCGTACTGCGAGCCTGAACAGCCAAGGACGTGGTCAGTTTACGAAGACATTTAGTTGTAAGAACACTCAAGGGGCAAAAAATGCGGAATAGATCACGTATCATGTAGTAGCCAGAGAGTATACGTCGATTTCGCTTGATTAGATATGCGTTTGTTTGACAGGTATGAGGAAAAGTCACATGACATTCCAAGCGTGTGGTCGACTAAGTGTCTCCTAAAAGTGCTTATCTGCAACCGTAGTCGATATAAAGGTGACTGGAGGAGACTCCGTCAACGTCGCTAAAACTGGCTAAGCGCCTGAATGAGCTAGCGTGCGCGAAAGAAATGCTTAAACCGTGAGTGGTGTTGAAAGTGCGCCAAGCTTCGAATCTCAAACTTCTACATTCCTAAAGGAGTGCATTTGAATTGATTGATTGATTGATTGATTGATCGATTGATATGGGGGGTTTTACTTCCCAAAACTACCATATGACTACGCGAGACGCCATGATAGAAGGCTCCGGAAATTTCAACCACCTGGAGTTCTTTAACGTGCACCTAAATCTGAGCACACGGGCCTAGAACATTTTCGTTTCCATCGAAAATGTAGCTGCCACCGCCGCAATATAGGTGTGCCTTCGGAAAGGCATGGATCGCACCATGTGCGAGGTGCGTTGTGCCTTCTGAGGTGGTACGAGTATTTTTGTTGTCCCGGCCAAGGCCCAGTAGCCTGCAATGTAATGCAGTAGGGTTGTTGCGAACTGTTTTTCACCCTGCTACCTTTCATACGAGCGGGACGAAAAACGGTTGATATTGAAGTGTCTTCTTCACGGCTCGTTTTTTTTTCTTCTTAGACACAATAATAATAAGATCTAACAGACAATAAGACACGGAAAGTATGGGTGAAGAAAAAAACAGTAGATGAAAAGATAACTTGCCATGGACAGGAACCATAAAACGCGGTCGATGCTCAACCAATTATGCTATTACAGTGGCTATACCACCATCCACTTTATTGGGTATATATGTGAATGAAACATGGGAGCGGCGGCAGTAAGCCCCTGGTTGGCGCCACACTCACACTCATATATATATATTGTTACGCCTACGAGGGGTTTATTCGAAGCAGACGTAACGGTCGACTCGACGGTATACCGCAGTGAACGCGAAGCAGCGAGCTCTTGCCACGAACCGAACGTCCTCTTCTTCTGCTACCACCATGTTCCCCGCTACACAGGTGCACATACCTAAATTACACATGGGGTAACACTTCCCTCCGCGCAGACGAGGCCCACTGGGCGAGTCAAACAGTCTCTCGAGGAATAAAGCGCTTCAAACGTGCAACATGGACAAGTTCAGTTTTTGCAGACCGTCGGCCGTTTGAATGGAGACGCGCTATGCGGTAAACTAAATCACTGATACGGTCTGCAACAGGATAAGGTCCCGCATAGTGCGCTAGCAGTTTCTCGCTCAAACCGCGTTTTCTAGTTGGTGTCCACAGCAACACTAGGTCGCCGCGATTGTACGTCACGTGTCGGCGTCGGCGGTCAAAATGTGCCTTCGAGCGATCTTGCGAAGCAAGAGTGCGCAAATAAGCAAGGCGTCTAGCTTCTTCTGCCCGACAGATGATCTCGGATATGCAGGGATCACGGTGGTCCAAACACGGGAAGATGGTATTCAGGGTATGATGAGGTGGTCGAGCATATAGAAGAAAGAAAGGACTGTAGCCGGTAGTTTCATGCTGAGCGGTGTTGAATGCATATGTGATAAAGGGTAGAATACTGTCCCAGTCCTTATGATCGGATGCAACATACATAGACAGCATGTTCGAGAGACTTCTGTTCGTTCGTTCAGTTAGACCGTTCGTTTGGGGATGGTATGGCGTAGAGTGCCGAAACCTTGAAGCACAGACACGAAGCATCTCTTCCATCACGTCTGCTGTGAATTGTCGGCCACGGTCACTGATTACGATTTTGGGAGGTCCATGTCGAAGAATTACAAAACGTAGCATGAAGGAAGACACATCGGCTGCAGTTGCCGATGGTATGGCAGCTGTCTCGCAGTACCGTGTTAAATGGTCGGTGCAAACGACTATCCAGCGATTTCCATCAGACGACCGGGGAAAGGGTCCAAGGAGGTCAATCCCGACTTGTTCGAATGGAGCTCTAGGGGGCGGCACCGGATGTCATCGCCCTAAAGGAGCACTTGTTGGGCGCTTATGACGTTGACACTCGTTACAGCTAGACACGTATTGTTCCATCGTCTGGCGCATTTTGGGCCAGTAGAATCTTTCTTGAAGACGGCACAGAGTTTTCGCTGTGCCTAGATGACCGGATGTTGGGTCATCATGCATAGCCTGCAAAACATAAACGCGAAGACTCTTCGGAACAACCAGAAGATATCGTGAGCCGGTGTTGGTGTAGCTCTTTTTGTACACTAGCCCGTCTCGGATGCAGAAGCGCGTAGGCGATGATTTTGGTTTGGTAGTAAGAAGCTGTTGTACGGTGCTGTCCCTTTGTTGCTCATCCTTAAAGGTCTTGTTATCGGGAAATGGGTGGTCGAGTGATGCAATGTAGGTATTGAAGGTGTCCGCGTCACATTCAATCGTTGGAAGCGGCAGTCGCGAAAGACAATCTGCGTCAGCGTGACGTCGGCCGCTTTTATAGGAAACCGTGAAGTCATATTCTTGTAGACGAAGTGCCCAGCGCGCCAGCCGACCAGATGGGTCACGCAGGTTGACCAACCAGCAGAGAGAATGATGGTCTGTCACGACGGTAAAGGGGCGTGCGCACAGGTAGGACCGGAAGCGCTGCACTGCAAAGACTACTGCAAGGCATTCTTGCTCTGTGACAGTGTAGTTACGCTCGGACTTGCTGAGCGAGCGACTTGCATACGCTACGACGTGTTCTTGATTATCCAAGCGTTGAACCAGGACAGCACCTACACCAATACCACTGGCGTCTGTGTGAATCTCAGTGGGAGCGAGAGGATTGAAGTGGCGAAGAATCGGATGGGACGTCAAAAGAAACTTCAACTCCGAAAAAGCAGACTCGCATTCCGGGGTCCAGTCAAACTGCGCACCTTTCTGAAGCAGACACGTGAGCGGGTATGCGATATTGGCAAAGCCAGGAATGAATCGGCGAAAGTATGAACAAAGCCCCAAAAAGCTGCGCAGTTCTTTCACCGAGCTTGGCTGCTTAAATGCCTTTACTGCGGCCGTCTTGGCGGGATCCGGTCTTATGCCTTCTTTGTTTACTAAGTGTCCAAGGACGAGTGTTTGGCGCTCTCCAAAACGACATTTCTTTGAGTTCAGCACCAAGCGTGCTTTGCTTAGACAGTCCAGTACGAGACCAAGGCGTGTGTTGTGCTCACAAAAGGTGCGCCCAAAAATTACAACGTCGTCCAAGTAACACATACACACTTCCCACTTCAATCCACGTAGAATGTTGTCCATAAATCGCTCAAAAGTTGCGGGCGCGTTGCAGAGTCCGAGCGGCATCACATTGAATTCAAATAGTCCGTCTGTTGTAACAAATGCCGTCTTCTCCTTGTCTTCCTCGTGCATTGGAATCTGCCAGTAGCCTGACCTCAGATCCACAGAAGAAAAGTAAGAGGCCGATGATAGACAGTCGATAGCATCATCAATCCGCGGGAGTGGGTATACGTCTTTTTTAGTGATGGCGTTGAGACGGCGGTAATCAACACAAAATCGCCATGTCCCACCTTTCTTCTTCACTAGAATTACTGGAGCGGCCCACGGACTACATGATTCTTAAATTACATTTTGCTTGAGCATCTCGCAAACCTGTTCATTGATCACTGCGCGTTCCGAAGGTGATACACGATATGGTTTCTGTCGGAGAGGTCTGTGAGATGTCGTGTCGATTCGGTGCTTTATACGAGAAGCAGGGAATGACGGTGAATCTTGCTGTGCAAAATCAAAAATACCAGCATGTTTGCGCAGAATACTCGCCAGTTCATTACGTTCCTTGGTGCTGAGTGACTTATCAATCATAGCCATAATGGTGGCGTCCCTGGCGTGCAGATTATCGCAACGGGTCTTATCCGGGGAATCATTGTTTTCTGCGAGGGTGGCAAGCGACAATACTTGGTGTTCACGAATCTCTGCAAGTTTCAGACCCTTCGG